TCAGAGTGGTTTGATGTAAAATGCACCATTGAAGAAGAACTTACTGAGTCAGAATTGTTCACAGTGGTGGTGATGGGAACCAGACGTTCCAGAAGTTACATCACAGAAAGCTGTTGCATCAAATGGTTATAAATACACTACTTGATGTCTGAGACTTTCTTCTATGATAATTTTGAGACCAGGTTTTGACCTAAAACATATGGAGGAGGGGTACATACAGGGCTTTAGGAAGATAAATAATACTCATTTATTTATTTATTTATTTAGTGCCGTTATTAGCATTACATATGAGACTCGGATGTGTAGGATCACTTCGTGTTTTGGATATTAAATAAAATGGCTATATTTGTGTTGTAGACATTGCGACCCCTATAACCACCACTGTAAATAAATCGGTAGAGTCAGTAAGTTTTTCTACAAATAACCCATTTCACATCAAGCCACTCTGAATGACTGTTACAGTGCAGTCATTATTCAGACAGGTTTTTGCATTGGTTATAACTAATTTGCACTGTTTTAAAAGGTCACCATTGTGTGCAAGCTCATTCTACTTGTGGATTTTTAGTTTGTTTAAAAAAAATATAGCTTTCTTAGCCAAACCAGTCAGTGTAGCATAATTCAAGCTCAGCAGAATAAAGATTTTTTTAACACATAAAATGGTGAATTGAATCAAGTCTAGACCTTAAAATGAAAAATTGTCAATCAGACCTGTTTCAAGTAAGAAAGTTCCTTTGATGCATTTTACAGTAACCTGCACTCTCCAAAAAAGGTGGTTCTTTGAGCAAAGTCATAAAAGAATGTTTGAGAGAGATTTGTGCATGTTAAGAACCTTTTCAAGGTTTAAAGAACCTTCAAATCATAAAAAAGGATCTATACCAGATTAAGACTTTGTCCTAGAACTTTACATGATGTAGAGGTTCTGTAAACTTTAACAAGGTTTTTCCACAAAAAAACGACTCATTTACAAAAATGATACTCCAAAGAACGATCCACCAAAAGGTTCTTCAGGAAACCAGCAGTGGTTCTTCTATGGCATCGTGCAAACAACTTCATTTTTAAGAGTGTAAACATAACGGGTGCAGAACAGCACATCAATTCAAAAACAATTAAAAAGAAAAAACAAGCAATTTGAATGATGATAGTGTTGAGTTAATTGTAGTAGCCTGCGCTTTTCAGAATGGCTATGCATCATCAGAGTGGGCAGCAGCAGCAGCGGAACTGGCAAGTGTCAAACCGCCTCCAGAGGCAGCCCAGTATGTACGAGATGAGTAGAGTGCTATAAAAATATAGTTAGTGGTGATCTGCCTAAAACATTTGATAGCATGGAAGTGCCATATTAAAAATGACAGCAGGGAAAATGAGGAATAGATCTGAGATTAAGACGATGATGATGTTGAATAAGGCTAAACCATACACGCACGGGGAAAACGCAAATGGTTTATATCCTGACCAGATGGCTGCTGATCTCCATTGAATTCAGCGTCTCCGTAGCAACACTCAGAAGTCTCCCGCCTTGCTGATGCCATGCAGTGAAATTTCCACTAGCACACTCAGACTGTTCCCTCCACGGGCAGTGGGCAAGCCCTCAAAAGAATCAAGAGCATGACAACTGATAAAGATGTCAGTAAAACAAACACTACCCAACAAAGCCATTTGAGACATTCTTCAGGTAAAAGCTGCCTTCCTGAAATACTATGGCCAAAATGAAAAATGTAACCACTGTGGCTGTAAACATGTATACTTGCCTCTTACAGTGGCAACACAGCACTCTCCAAAGCAAGATGTCCTAGTTTTAATACCAAGAAAACCCCTTTCTGATGATGTATTTAAAGGTGGAATTGCATTTTGAAAGACTACAAGTGTTTTGGTGTGGATTCCCAAAGGTAGTGATATGTATTTACTCACTGCATGCTGGGTATTGTAGTGAGAGAATACTAATGGACAAAAACAGTACAAAATTGTGAATTCTGTCAAACTGATGAGGCTGATGGATGCAGTGCTGAACTACATAATATTACATAACATGAATAACATGTATGCTAGGAACCCTGGAATGCACCTTTAAAAGAAGTACAGTTATGGACTGGGCCGAGGCAAAGGGAGTCAATAAAAGGTATAAAATAGAGGCTACTAGCTAAAAGCAAACAGTCAAGCTGTGTTTTTATCATTGTTCTGTTTTTATTTTTGGAAAAACAACAGGAGGAGGTAAACATTTTCCCAAGTCATTGCACATAAAATACATATTAACATTAAAAATATCTTTTTACTTCATTAACTTTACAAAATGTACATTTCACATTCACAGGGGAAGATCAAGTGTAATATTTAAGCAAAATCATTGATAGATCAATATCTACTGTTTTGATACAGTACAGTAAATAAATACCCATCCCATCCCCACACCTCAGTCCCACCTCAGAGTGCAGAACTAAGTAGTCAAACAGAAAAGGAAAAAGATGCAGCAAATGCAGCAAATGAGAAACAAATCAGGTGGTGGAAATATGGGATCAGTCACTACATATCTGGACTGAAGTTCTTTGATTGGGAAAAATAGCATTTATATATTAAACGTCTCTACATATATCAAACATGAAACCTACCTGTTCTACCTGGTCATGTTCAATCAGACACGTCCCTAAAAATAATGCAAATACCTCTGCATTTTGCCAAGTGCCAACTTATCTGGCAAAACAGTAGTTTTGATTGCATATAAAGCTTAGTGGTGGAGTCTATTTGGTAACAAACAGATTTGGCTGTAGAAAAGGAACCATACATATCATCTTATGCAAAAGTTTGAGCGCCCCTGTTTGAATTATGTTTTGCTAATTTTCTAGATGAAAATAAATTAACACATCCTCTATATCGAACACATTTCTGATTTTAGCGCACAATTATTGTTTATTTACTGTTCAAATTTAACATATTAGGAAAAAAGAAATATATATATATATAATGTTGCATGTGCAAAAGTTTGGGCATGTGCTACATTTATGTTGTATTTTTCCCAGTGTGTTAAATTCAGCAAATTAACAAATATTGTGCACTACAATTTACAGAAGTATGCCGTATTTAAGTTTGCACTCTGCAGAGGATGTGTTAACTTTGCAACTTAATAATCAACAAGTTATTTGACCAGGGGTGCCTAAACATGTACATAAGACATGTAGAGGAGCTAGACTTTAATACTCCTACGTCTAGTTTCATGGACATGGATTAAGCCTGGTCTTGGACAAAAACACATTGTCAATGGTGTTTCACCTCTAAAAATCCCATTTAGTCTAGGCTTAGGCTTAATCTGGGTCTTGGAAACCAGCCCCTTAGTACTTCTTAGTACTACAAAACTAGTTTAAGTGCTATATAAACAACTGCATTTTCGCATTTATACTTTCCACTTGGTAAAAACCCTGAGTTCAGTTTCTCCTGTTTACCAAGTTACAATGTTTCTTCTTTTTGCATGGTTGGTTTTCTTGTGGCACAGTAGATTCTTTCTGAGGAATTAACATACTTCCACTTCTCATCCATCCATTCAAACATTCTCTGTTCTCCCTCGCTACAGAAATATCTTAAAAATTCACACATGCTCCAAACATGAAGCAAGCACATGACAGAGCGAACAATTAACCTGCAGTCACGCTCCAGCCAGCGGAATTCATCCCATAATGACTCAAGCACACGTAAAACTAACAGCAGTTTCCATGGGAACCCTATAATTTTTTTTTTCTTATTAACCAAAATTGTAACCTTGAATTAATATGCATGTATTAAACATCATTCTCTCACAGTACTTCAAATACTGCGCACTCATAAGCATATGAGTGCATTTTGTATGATGGAATGTACTGCAGTAATGTAGGTCTGAGCCTCTTGCAAATGAAGGATCCTAAATGGTTCTTTGCTTGGACATATGGTTCTAGGAAAAACCTTTGACTGGTATAAAACCTTTACATCATGTGAAGGTTCCTTAAAGTTCTTAGTATTCCAACATTTTCTTTAAAGAACCATCCACTTGAAGGTTCTTCAGGGAACCAAAGGTGGCTTTTCTATGGCACTGCTCCAAAGAACCATTTTTGATGGCTTTATTTTTTAGAGTGCGCTCGCACGTGCAGTAATTCTTTTAGCTAAAGCAGACTTCCAGTTTGCTGAGGCCAACATGAGCACGGGGCATTAGAGTTAACGTTTCAGATCCATCTCTAATCTGATTGAGAGGATTGGCTGGATCAGAGTTGGAGTGAGGGCCAAATGCTCCGACTGTTTACATGATCCCAATGAAACATCCTCTCTCAGTAACGAAGCATGGACAAAACCATCACAATACATTTACTGCAAATTCAAAACATGTATGCTGGAGGTAAACATACTGCAATATTGCAAATATGTAAAATCGCTGACACTGACTAAATTCCAATTCAAATTTGTCTAACAAACGACACTACAGCATGCACTGAATGGCTAAGAGCGACAGCGGTCTGCATATTTTCTTACATATGTAGCACATCTACCAATTTTTTGGTCCTGGTTTAACAAAGACAGTAAGGAAAGGGCACTGGAGGGTGTTTCACAAAGCAAGATTTGTCAAGGAAGCTGGATAACATAAACCCAAACCCAAGATCCTCCCCTCCTACTGGACAGACTTGACTTTTGGCTTAAAAGAGAATCACACAGATTTTTCAAAATGTCAATGTGGTTAATTAGTTATGATATAAACAAGGTCACACAGAAAGTTTTGATGTGAAATGCTCTGTTTTAGAGACACTTACTGAATCAGAATTACACACAGTGGTGGTGATAGGAACTAGGCGATAGGAGTTTAATGTCTCTAAAAGCAATATCAAAAGAAAATGGTTATGAATTTGCAGCCTGATGTCAAAGACATTGTTTTATGATAGTTTTGGCCTATTCATTTGAGATTATACAAATATATATATATATACACACACACACACACACACACACACACACACACACACATATATATATATATATATATATATATATATATATATATATCTTATATATTTAGGTCATTTGGGGTGAATTTTTGACCCCTGGTTCCTAAGACCACCACTGTAAAGAAAATCACCAGAAAATTGGTAGGTTTCTCTAGTACAAACCATTTCACATCAAACTACAATGAATGACTTCAAATGTTTACATGTCAACCTCTTAATTATGCAGAAATTTTGAAAAATCAGTGGAATTCCCCTTTAGTTGATTATCTGGTATTTTCTGCTTAGACTGACAATAAACAATAAAGTGTCATGATGACAGAATCATTAAAAGAGACCCATAATATCTTTTAAAAAGTCTGAACACCCCCATGTTTTTTTGAAGTTAACATGTCCTCTACAGAATCTTAAATATTTTGGAGCACAATTTCCATTTATTTGCTGAACTCAACTTATGTACTTTTGTCCATGCCACGTTATATTAAGTTAAGCAAGTAAACAGTAATTGTCCTCTAAAAGTTCGTTCTGTGGATAGGATATGTTAACTTGTTTTCACACAGAAATCAACAAGACGTGATTAGACTGAGGTGCCCAAACCTTTGGGTGAGCGAGATGGTTCCCTACCTGACAGTGAATATACTACAGTACAAATTCAACTTGACCTACTGATCTATTTCTATGACATACAATCAATAAAATCTTTAGAATATTCATCTAAAAAATACACTAAGTGTAGTGACCAGCTTGGGACATGGAAAAAAAACAAGTGAGATTAACGATAATTAGAAACATTTCCAGATTTGGACATCATTGCACTTTGCTCATACATCCTTAATTCCTACTGCATAACAACACAAGAACAGAAAAAAAGCAACCTGAAAATAGTGACTGGGGCAGACTGGACAATAAATAAGATTTGCCTTCATTTAGCAAAGAATGCTGTACACCGGTCTTCATGTAACAAAGGAAATCAGACGTAAAGACATAAAAAATAAGTACATGTTCATGCAGTGGCAAAGTAGAAAGTGACAGAGCTCAGTCTGAGAAGGGTCTCTTGTACATACAAATGTTTTTTTTTTTTTTCTCATGCCAGTATAAAGAACACTGTACACTGTACATCACAGGGAGTGGAGACTTTATCCCTTACTGCACTGCACTGAGAGGAACACAACAGGACAGGTAGTGCTTTTGGGGCTGTGCTATAGGAGAGAGTGTGAGAAAGATCGTAGGGCTCACCAGAGGAGCAGCCCTGCTCTACTGCTGACGATTACCATACATAAGGGGGATGATGTAGACGGAGATGTCGTCTCCAGAACCCAGACGATCGTTGGTGATACGCCAGCCTCGGTCCCTGAGAACACCCCTAGCACGCATCACCAAATCCTGGGCTGCCATGGTGTACCTGGGTGGAAAAAGTGTGAATTTATATATAATTTAAAGCATGGATACTGTGTCCAAATCTTAGTCAACATAAAGTGGAAGTATGGAGCCAAATATATACTTGAGTCAAAATGAAAAGGTATCAACATGTAAGCATACTAAAGTATGCTTTGTACAAAAATTCTAAGCAACTGAGAAAAATTTACTTAAGATGCTCTTTATCTGGGCACTAAGCATTTATTTAATCAGAAATACACCAATATTAGACTAAGCACAGATACTTTTATGTCCGCATGTCCATATGTTTGTTTAACCATTTAACCAAATCTCAATGCAGCCCAGTATTATTTGTAGTTATCATCCACTACCTGGTTTGGCTAAATCAATCCTTTATTAAATTAAATCAGATAAGCTGTTGATGGAATTTAAAAATGCATGCAATGGCTGAGGGTTCTAGAGTTCTAACCAGCCCATAAGATACCAACTACTTTGTTGAACGTAAGAAAATCTTGTTGTTTGAACACTCTGATCAAATGTTTGGTTGATTTTGTAAGTAAATAACACATATAGGAAAAAAACATTCAGTTTAAAAAGTCTTAACTTTTGAATAGTGTTGCTGTGTTTTTCACCCCAGTATTGTAAATTCAGCAAGTTAACAGGAATTGTGCATTTGCCAAGGGTGCCCAAACTTTTTTTTAATATTATATAGTGTTTTACTGGCTGAGACACACTCACTACAGGTTTTAAAGAATTTGCTAAGGTGCCTAAGACTTTTGCATAGTAGCGTATAAAAGCAAAAGTTTTTTTGTTTGGTGATGTGTGATGGAGTGCTGTGTGGTGCAGTGACTTATGGGCAATACTAGTCCTTATACAAAAATGAATTAATTAAGGTCTAAATGAAAATGTAAGGAGTGATATCTATGTTTTTTTTCCTCTTGTAAATGTAATTGAGTAAAAGTAGTTTCAATAGTACTAGAGTAAAGTACTACTTAAATAATGCTACAGTAATGAAGTAGTGAATGAATAGTAATGAAGTGCAATCACTCAAGTATTTTCCACCCCTAAATAAATGTATAATATTAAATTTGAGTGTTATATTTAACATCTAGCAAAGTTTTTGAAATATGATTAAATAAAACAGACGTAATCAGACGTAAATGTGAACCGTCTGGGTGTGGTCCAAATATTCTAATGAGCGCACATGATTGACAGCCCTCAGTCCAAAACTCCCAGCCTGCTTTGTCTTAAAGAAGAAAATGTTCTTATTCATTTTACTGTAAAATGTAAATCCATAGTCATTAGTTTTCTTACAATAAGTTTCTCTGACTTTAACAGAGAGAAAGAGACCATATACCACATCAGCTTTGTGATTGTTAATGACGCTGCTTATGTAAGTGCTACCCAAGCTTAGAATGGCCCGGTTCAAAAAGGAGAATGTTGGCAAAAAATATCACCCATTTATTGGTCATTGGAAAATAATTCACAGCACATACTTTGTATATGTATATTAAGAGATTAAGAGATTAAGTGATTAAGTGATCAAGATTAACCCCTGTAAAAAGAAAGCATGGTTTTAGATTGTATAAACTGTAATGCATAAACTATATACCTAAATCATTACACACTTGCCTTAGTGTTGAGGTGGTAATATTAAACAGGATTGATGTGGTTTCTGACATTGTTTTCTGTATTTACCAAATAAGCAAGCAGCAAGTCTACTTAAAATTACTTAACAACTCGACATGGACATGATGAAGAGGCACACACTTTGCATGATGCTTGTTCTATTGCTTCAAAAAATGGCAACCACCCATTAAAAAAAGGCTGAGAGGCTTTATTGATATGCCGCATACAGATCAAGCAGATTAACATTAGGCAATTAAAAGTCTCCAGACAGGTGTTTTAAGCAGCTGGCTTCTAATGGCTTTTAAAGTTCATTTCTTTTATGCAAGTCTAATGAATTGAATGGAAGTCTACTGAAGCGGTGAATTACTCAAAGCATTTCATGACTTTCTAAAAGATCAAAGGAGTGTATCTTTTTAAAGCCTAAGAGGTAAGTAACAAGTTCATATTTGTTATATACTTGCATACTTCAATCTTTCAGTAGTGTGCACACAGAGTGCTTGTTCATGTGCGATGCAGATGACTGTGCAGGAAAAGCTTTACCTGTGGAGGTCATCTGGGTCACAGTTGGCGAGGAAAGAGGTGACAGACTCAGCCACTTCTTCATTAGAGAGAACGTCCCACAAGCCGTCAGTGCCCATCACCAACACGTCATCCGCCCCGTGCTCGTACTGCGTCAGATTATACACTTTCACCTGCACACAGACACTTCAGTTAAAGAGCTGAGCATATGGACAAAACATCATAATCACAATATTATCTTTACACGATGTAATAAATATATACAGAGATGAGCCAAAACATTATGACCAATCACAGATGAACTGAATAACGTTGATTATCTTGTAACGACTGCGCATGTTAAGGTCTTGGATATATTAAACAGTAAGCGAACAGTCGGTTCTCACAACTGATGTGGGAGAAACTGTCAGGCCTGAAGACTTGAACTACTTTGACAAGAGCCAAACTCTTACAAACAGTCAACAGGGTTGGAGCATCTCTAAAACACCAAGGCTTGCGGGGTGCTTCCAGTCAGCAGTGGAGAGTGTCTACTGACAGTGGTCTGAGGAGGGACGAATATCACGACCCGGTGACAGAGTGTTGGGAGCTCAAGGCTCATCCATGTGCGTGGGCAAACAAAGCTCATTTCATCTTGTCTGGACCGACAGAAAGGCTACTGTGGCAAAAGTCACAGAAATGTATAATGATGGTTACGGAATGAATGTGTTACAACACACAGTGCATCACACCCTGCTGCATATGGGGTAGCCACAGACCAGAGGGTCCATGCTAACCCCATCCACTCCCGAAAGTACCAACAGTGGGCATGTAAGCATCGGAACTGGACCTTGGAGCAATGGAAGATGATTGTGTAGTCGAGTGAGTGGAAGGCCAGGTACGTGTGCACCATTTACCTGAGGAAGTGATGGCACCTGGATGCAATGTGGACAGAAGACAAGCCGGTGGAGAAGAGTGATGCTCTGGGCAGTGTTTTGCTGGGAAACCCTGGCTTCGTGCATTCATGTAGTCTTCATTTTGACATGTTGGTCATCAGTTTAACATCACCTACAAAAACACTGTTGCCTCTTCATGGCAGTGGTATTCCCTGATGGCAGTGGACTTTTTCGGCAGGATAATGTGCCCTGCCCTACTTCACACATTGTTCAGGAATGGATGGATGAACATGACCAAAAGTTCAAGGTGTTGCCCTGGCATCCAAATTCCTTAGATTTCAACTCCACCTCACAATTTACAGGACTTGCTGCTAACACCTTGGTGCCAAACACCACAGGGCACCTTCAGAAGTCTTGTAGAGTTCACGCCTCGGTGGGTCAGAGCTGTTTTGTGGCTTATCATTGTACTAAAATTATAGTGGTAAATCCTTGATGTGACATGATTAAAGATTTGCTTGTAATATTTCCATGAAATTATAATGTTCGAACACCTGAACAGCTTTTGTTCAGAGTCATTGAGAAGACTCATCTGAAATGTATGAGATTTAGTCAGAATACTCCCAGCAATAAAAGAGGAAATGTGTATTTACAAAAAAACAAAACAAACAAACAAAAAAAAAACAAGTACATATTATTTATTTTTTTAGGAGATATTGCTAAGGAGATTGGATAAAAGATGATCCACTTGCATAAGGATGGGGAAAGTCAAAGTAAAATAACTCAAAAAACAGAGAAAATCAGACTCCTAACAACCATGCAGGACCTGGTAGACCACTAAAACATCAAATAAGCATCAGAAAAACAGAGAAACAGTACTTAAAGCTTTCATCTTTGGGAGGTAAGAGAAATTAAAACCCCACTCTTGCTCCTAATCTAAAAAAACACACAGGAGTTTCTGTAAATCCTTCCACTGTGAGAAGACAACTCAACACTGTGAGTCTGAAAGGCAAAGTGTGTTCACACTAAATAATGAAAAAAATTATATTTTTATTTATATGAAATAATGAAGGGTGGTCTGACTTTTGCACAGAACTGTATATATACTGTACATAGACAATTTGTCAGATATTTGAGAAAATAAATTATTACTTGACGACCTTCTTTTTTAAATGACATTCATTTTCAGCTGGAGGAATAAGCTGAACCTGAGTTTTTTGCTGAGCACATTTATGTTTAACTTCACAGAGCACACACAGGTCATTTGGGAATTGTATGATTTTAAGCGTAACTTCTTATCTATGCAGGAATAACGAAGTAAGGAGTAGCTTTAGTAAAGCAGGGATTGCAAAGCCAATATGTGCCTTTAATAATATATTGGAAAAGAGAACTGCTAGATCATTATTTGGGCAAAGCCTGCTCTTGGGTAGTTGTAAAACCTAAAGTATTAGGGAATAACAGTTTAAAACATTATTAGTTCTGTCATCACATTAAGAATAATGTGACATGCACGGCAAGCATTCACAAGTTTTTACTTTATATCAGCAATGAATAAACATGTTTGAAAAACTCTTTTTCTCTGTCTCAGTTAAGTTCAGATCAGCCTTTCACAGCCTGTAAATAACACACATTGCTTTGAGAGGGAAACTCCTATAAATCCATATAAAATGAGGCAATATTGCAGAAAAACCCTTTTGACTGCAACTCTGACCATTTTATGGGCAGTAGAGGACCACTGTGTTTGCTTAGTAAAGCACAAAACGTCACGTTAAACATTAGTAAATCTTCCACTTAGTTACTTAAAACAGATCTATGAGTCCCACGATAAAGCAAACTGTGTGGCACTCCAGTAGCAGACAGAGAACAGACAGAGGCAGCAGTATGTTAAAAATCCTTCCAGCTTCTCAGGAGAAAAAGAGGTCACTGAGTATTTTGATGAAAGGAGTGCGGGGAGGGAAAGTAGCACAGCTAAACTCAAAATCAGGGCAATGTATGAGGTAAATACCAGGCTTGCCGAATGAACTCCAGCTGAACTCCAAGTGTAATGAATTAAAAATCAAAAGAGGTGTCTGAATGGGAGAGGCGAAGAGAAACATCAGACAGCCTGCGGCGAGACGAGAGACGGCGAGGCTTTGATAGACTGCAGAAGCTCCTCGGCAACAAGGCATCAGTGAATAAGGTAGCGGGGAAAGTTCTTTTGCTTTGAGTTTGGTTCTCAAATCTGTGTGCAGTCAGAAGAGAGGGGGCAAGGCCTCAAAAGCAGTGCAGTCATGTCCTGAGAGTTAGTGCAGACTGAGATGTGCACTCAGATGAGCACGAGATGACCTTTACTAAAGTTGTAAAGGGCACTTTTTAGAAACACCTACCTTGAAGTTTCACCTTGTTGTTGTGAGGTTGTGTAGCCCATCTGTTGATGCACAATGTCTTCATCAAGGGTCAGATTCTGACCAGAGAGCCACTCTTGGGTAGATACATTTTCAGGGGTTATCCACTGTCAACCCAGCAGTGACATGGGAGCATGTAAAGACTCCAGCAACACCATCGTGCCTGATATATTCATACCAGCACCACACACACACACACACACACACACACTACCATGACACTACCATGTCAGTGTCACTGCTGTGTTGAAAACAGTCCACAACCCACACAAACATTTTCTACACTGCTTATCCTTCTGGGTCACGGGGGTGGCTGGGGTCTATCCGAGTGGTCACTGGGAGGAAGGCGGGATACACCCTGGACAGGTCGCCAGTCCATCACAAGGCAGACACACAGACATACACATTCACACACACACACACACAATCATGTCTAGGGGCAATTTAGCATATCCAATTGGCCTGACTGCAAGTCTTTGGACTGTGGAGGGAAACCCACGCAGATACGGGGAAAACATGCGCAACTCCACACAGAAGGGACCCTGGTTACACACATACAGTCATATGCAAAAGTTTGCAATTTAAAATTTCAGTGCTCGATTTCTAATTATTTTCTGGGATTAACATAAAGGGAAAAATAAAACAAACAGTAGAAAATGTGCCATAACTTTTGCACAAGCCACATTTTATGTTTTATTTTTTCCAATATATTACATTCAGCATATAAGCAATAATTGTGCATTCTGTGCAAAAATGCACAGAAGTGAGTTCTCCGTAGAGGACGTGAAACGTTTTTTAATAATAAATAATAATAATAATAAAAGTCAGTCCCAACTGTTTCAAGCATAATAGTCTTTTCTAATTAGCTGATTCTTCTGGACCACCAGCAGCTTTTTTGTTTGATTAGCAAATATTCTTTTTTTTGTCCATTTCCTTTTCTCAGTAATGACTTCCTAACAGCTAAACATCCTTTCAGACTCACAGCGCTGAGCTGTCTTCACACAGCTGAAGGATTTTTTTCAACTCTGAAGCAAGAGTGGAGCTTGATTTTCTCCTCTCTCACAAAAATGAAAGCCTTAAGTACTGTTTATCTGATGGTGACAGTTTTAGTGGTCTTTCAGGTCTTGCATGGTTGTTAAGAATCTCATTTTCTCTGTATCGCTTGACAATTTTTTCTCTGTAACTTCACTTTTGGAAGCTCCTGGTTTTTTTCACTTATTTACTTCTGACTTTCCCCTTCTTTAAGTGGATTATCTTAGATCTAATCTCTTTAGAAGTATCTCCTGAAAAATTAAAAACTTGTACTTTATGGCCATTTTGACTGGAAATTATTAGACCTTATAAAGAGGTTCGTAAGGACAAATGTATGCAAGCACACAGGAGGTGTTTTTTTAATAGTGAACGGTAGGTGTACAGAGTATAATTATAAAGGACAGTGTAAAAGTACAATGAATACATTTATATATGTGATTAAACATCCCAACTTGAGTCCTGGAGATTTGGCTCAGCATCCCTGCTGATTCATATGCATGAACACAAACATACACACCTGATTCAACTTATTAGTTAATGACCAGGTTCAGAAGATGTGTTAGAGCACTGAAATAACCAAACTGCTCTGGACTCTGATCCTCCACAACCCAAGATGAGTCACCATAGGAAAATAATATGTAGATGAGAAGTAAAACTTCTCAAACGTTCTTATAGCATCAGTCCTGCTCTAGGAAAGGTTTGATGAGGAATCTCCATGAACAGGATTCTTCTGAACTACTTGCATGACATTTCATCACTGTCCAAAAATACATGTATTGCCAAATTGGTAACTTAACAGAAAAGATGAAAACTTTCTTCATGTTTAATGCAGCTTAATGTTACAAGATTTTATTCTGAATAATTCCTGTCTGTTTCCATTGGTCCATTCATTATAAAATGTTCACAGTGTAGAGGGGATCTGTGGTCAAGCTACGTACATAAACACACAAATATATGTAAATATATGTATGTATATCGCTGCTGGCGAAACTAAACCTCGTATCTCCATTTTTGTCAATTTTTCTGTTTTTGACATAATTTGGAAGGGCCTGTTGTCCTTTACATTGTGTGTAAATTTCATGATGAATGAACCAAAAGAAATGGCCCAAAATTACATGGTAAAAAGTCTGGTTCCATTTCTTTAATTTTGTAGATATGAAAGTTTGATCCGACAACAGCGATATATTATCAGTAAATTGTGTGAGTTAGCGTACCTCTGGACAGCAGGACAGAAATGGTTTAATGTAGATATTGGAATCATGGACTTTGAGGTCGTGGTCACCCAGGCCACGAGTCACTCCTATTGTGGCCATCACTCGAGCCTGCAGAAAAAGACAATCGTTCTTTAGATGTATGTTACTGTTCAAAGGTTTCCAATAATGTTTTCAATGGTTACTCATCAACTTTTGCAACTACACAACATTCAAATCATTCTTTTTTATAGCTTCCTACTAAGTGTATAAGAAATCTAGTCATGAGCGGAGCTGTGGATGATTCTAAAATAACTGAGAAAGCTGTATAACATCAAAAATGAAGTTATAATATTAACTAACATCCAGAATGTCTTAGATGTCAAAAGTAGAGAATTTGACAAAACATATATTTTATAATTTATGTCCAGTATAAATATTCAAATCTGTGTTTTTTTTTTTTTTAATGCTGTGACAGCTTTTGTCGATTTGGTCCATGCACAGTGTAGATTCAGTGCCTATTGATTCCACCTGTCAGTCTTCTACTTCTTATTTCTCCTTCTAAAACTACCCACCAATTCCACCAGTAAAGACAGAGCTGTCGGTCTGCACTGTCTCTAATCCTCAGTAGACTAAGCCAGACAGACCACTGTGTGTGTGTATGAGTGTGTGTTCAGGCTCGTGTGCAGATATCTACAGCGTGTCCGACAGCAGAGGAATCAGAGACAGTACACTGCCTTAATGATGAGCAGTCGGACAGCTCCTCTAGGGGTATGGTGGGCTGGCTTTGCGGTTTGAGTGACAGCTCAATCTAACGACAGTCAGCTAGAACACAGCGGTTTCCTGCTGAGTGCACTAAGGCTGAAGCTGAGAGTGACTGTGCCTCAGGGAGATATGGAAAAGCTCTCTATCTATCTCTCTCTCTCTCTCTCTCTCTCTCTCTCACTTAGCCCTTAGAAGTCCACACTTACTTGATATACATTCAATTTACATTATATAATTTTTTACATGTTTACATTTACATTGCCTAATTAACCATATAGTTCCATACATCAGGAACTACATTCACATTTAATTTACATTCTGTTTACAATATGCACTTCCAGCTTTCTATACTCCACCCGTGCGCTCTAAACAAATTAACTTAGTTCCACTAAAACTGTGGGTCTCGGTCCACTTCAAAGTGAACCCTGGTTCAGTTCTCTTCTTGAGGGAAAGCAGGTTTTTTTCTCCTTCTAGCAGCATGTTAGAGCTGTAATGACTGCATAATCTGCCTGTTTTAACATTTGACTCTTGATAAACACTTACATCATTCTTGCAGCCCAAGCTGCTGCTAATAATGGCGGACAAGAAATAAAATAATAGCAAAGCAATGCATTTGTTTCCGGCACCTGGATCACAGAATATATTTTTGCCCTGGAATCAGAGACCTAATTGGTTAAACTCAAAGACGCAAACAATTCAGTCATAAAGACGCAGAGATCACCTAAGATTTATTTTTATTGATTTGATTGTGATTCATTTATGTTTAGCATCTCTATTTTAATATAAAGTGTGTGTAGGATAATACATTTATGTCAAGAATATATGTGAGGGTCCGATCTGGATTTCACACAGTAACAGGCTAATGACAGTTAAAATGGTTGTTTTTCTGGCCTTTAATATGAAAGTGACTTTCTGACAAATAAACCAAACCACCCATGTATAATTTGTTGCACTTCAGCAGTGCAATGTTAAAATGACCAAACCAAAAGAAAAACATACAATGTATCAAAAACCCACATTTGGACCGGAAAACAGCCTTAGATTCTACATGAACAAAAAACATTACATTAGAACTCAAACTAGGCAGTACAAAAGGATAAGAAACTGTGCATTAACCCTCAGAAGTCCAGAGTTATTACTGACATTTTGCTACACTTTTTAAATGCAATTACATAATTACAAGGTCAGTTATATCATAATTACATCTGATTTGCATACACATCTTAAATTGACAGGTTTGTGTCTGCACTTCTAAATTTTACTGCTCAACATTGCAAAAATGTAATGAGTGCTTTATCTGTCTATGGAATCAGACAAGATCAGAATCAGCCATTTTTTTGCTCAGAAAACGCAATGAGCCAATTTATTATTTTCATTTTGATCAATCTGTATTGCAATTTTGTAAATAATGTGAGGCAAGTAAACACATTCATACTGCTACACCTTCACTTCATTATGCTCAGCAGCCAGTTGCACCTTATTTGATTCAAGTCATTCAAATAAGCAACTGATTTTCATTGAAGAATTTAAAATTGCTCATTAAAGAGCAAATAATGTTATTTATATTATGACTTTGGCTAACAGACAGTAATGAAAATGTGCTAGTGCATTTCATGTGTTCATTTAGCCCCTTGAGTGAAAAGAAATCAAAACTGGCCATAAAACGTCATGAGTGATGCATCCCTAAACAAAATATCTCCTCATCTACTTATGAACATTAATATAGTATAATGTATAATTGAAAGTTTAGGAATCTGCACTTTTTAAATGAAATTTCTTTCTGTTTCAATGAGCTACTGCTGACAAATAAGGTAATATTAAATCCAACCATGCTTTTGTTACACTGTCAATAACTGAGACTTCTAAGTGTTCAAAGTTTCTTCTCTCTCTCTCACAGCTGTCCTACTCAGCTTTTAGCACTATTTATCTGTCTTTCAGCATCCACTCTTCATCATCTTATCTCTCTTTATCTCCCCCCACGTCCGAGTTGCTGTAATCTATTCTCAAGAGTCTTTTTTGCACTCTCTCTTGCTGTTTCAATTCCATCTGGCTTCATTCTTCATTCTTTTCTCCCTTTGAATTCTCCCATCCACTTCTCCTCTCCCTCTTACCTTTTTTCCTTCACCGTATATTAAGGGGAACCTCAGGTCCTCGTCCTCGATGGTTTTATATGCCCTGTGGACAGGACAGAGGCAGAAGGCAAGTGAACGTTTGCTTTATTACAGTATAGGAAAAATGTTTTAGTTCACACAGTTAAATTTACATAGTTTACAAACCCTTTTTGCACTCTATTGGACCAATAGCTGATTTTTCTTTGGCCGATTTGTCCTTTATCCTCACAATGCACAGGCGCTTTCAAACTTTTCAGAGGTTTTGTATCATGATTCCCTGATTTAGTGATTCACAATGATTTGATTTTATTACAATTCCTTAGAAAATATTTCAATACATCATGAAATTCACAAATAACATCCATTTGAATTATCTTGGTATGGATTCTCAATTAGTTTTAAAAACAATGAACACAAATGTGACTTGTGGAGCTATTTACATTCTACAGGACAATACAAACAAGCTTTGATTTTTATATTTTAAATAGACCAAAGATTGTATTTAGGCCATAAAACAATTGGAATTTAACTGTATAACTGACTTTAACATTTTTAAATTAATGCAATTGATTCAAACTGATGCTTCATGACTCTTCTGAGCATTTTTACAACCGTAGTTCCATGGCCTTGTGTGGTCCAAACACTAACCATCTCTACAGAGAACGTACAGGGAAAAGATCTCACAGCTCATGTGGAGCTCTCACTGTTATATGAGAGTCCATATGGTCCATATGGGTCAAGATTCACTCTTCAAAACACTGAGGTCAGTGTGAAAACATAAGAACAAGAGATGGAATGAATTTTGGATTAATATGTCTCAATCTACACAGATGCTTTGAGTGCTTATGGTATATTAGTATATTCTATAAAATAGTTCAAAATTAGGGTCTTGCAGAGAACCTAGCAAAAAGCAAAGCAGTAAAGAAACAATCTATGGTTACAATATTACAGTACAAGCAGAAAAGAAATTGTGTTTGATACTGGAAAGAGTCTATATTTCTCTATTAAGAAAGAGCCACACACATGTATGATGAAACCAGTAAGAACAAACTCAGTAAAATGCATCAGAGAGCACACAGATCGTGGCAGCTTTAGAGACTCATTAAGGACCTGTTTGAACATGGTGATACATTTTTATGATGTAGCATCTTTACGTATCCCTGCCATTACACACCCTCCATGCATTCATCCATCTCTCCAGCCTTCAGGCTCTCACTCTTATACCCTCCCAAAGACTGTATACTTTCTTTCATAACAAAACCTTCTGGGAATCGTAACTTTCAGGCCGGGTTGGGCCAATCTTCATATACAACCTCCGACTTGGGTCGAGCTTGGATTTGCTTTTAAATGAGTGATTTTTTGCATAGTAGTTGTTTTTTAATTGGAAGTTTATTGGAAATAGCAGTCGTGATCAGGAGGGTGGATGTTGCTATCTGCCTGATATGATAAGCAAATATACTGATAATAAATACTGTTTATTACAGACGTGCACATTTGAGTTTATTAAATACAGCATGAGCAGCAAAGCTGTCAGTATTCTGGAGATAAATGTGGGGAGGACAGTTACATGGATTTAAAACTACAAGCATATGAACATGGTTTGCTTTAAGTGTAAAAGCAGCCAAGCACACCATATAGCATTAGATAAATCTAGTAACTGTAGTTATCTAGCTCTGAATGGTGCACAGTCATTAACTAACTCATTAACACCAAAGGCATAAATGCTGGAAATCACCAGCATATTGAAGTTATGTTGGTCATCACTGCACTGTGTGCAAAGCAAGAGACAGGAGTAGGAGTAAATGTTTTTTTTCTATAATGAGCTCTGAGATGAGTTCTGGGTCTCTCGCCACCGTTTTTATACTGAAGTGTCTGAAAGATGCTTATTTAATGCCTCTGTTTTGTTTTTGTAGCCTATATCCCCCGCCTATGGTAGGGAAATTCAAGGTCTAGCCCACGAGTAAATTCGCACCCCAAAATGACAGCCCTGGTGCTGGAGGACGTGGAGAAAACATTACAATCAAGTTGCAGTTTTGCAAAACTTACTTTTGCTTTGCTCTGCTAGTTATCATAAGCTTAACTTTCTCCCAGCTGAGCTGGCAAAAATGTTCTATTCAGCCAGTTATGTGAAAAAAAAAAGCTTTGGAAAAGCACTCAGAGTGGCCAGTCAGATTTCAGGAGACGCCAGGTCACATCGGCCACTCTTCTGGCTTCACCCCTGGTGAGTGGGTTTGGGTTGGGTCTTTAAGTTTAGCAATACCAGTTGGCACCAAAGTTGCGGGTACAGGTCAGGTTTATGCTTTATTTTCATGCCTGTTCAGACCTCTAACACCTCTAGCAGATATCCAGTGTCCTCACCAGCCAGTCATGGTGAAGTCCCGGTACAGCATCTTCTTGCCCACTTCATTCCTCTGGACCCTCCTGGGGAACTCCAGGTGTGTGAACTCTCCTCCTAACAAATGCGGATGCATGTAACCCTAAACTCGGACCAAACACAGAAGAAGAGAGAACTCAACGCCACACCTCATAACTAATAAGCTGATAGGCCACTATACTGATTATTAGCTCCACACCTAAATTACTTAATCATTTAGCACTTCACAGGAAGACAGAGTCACAGTTTCTCCAGAACTATTTATTACCTATTAATAGTTTCTTTTTTAAAAACTGCTGCAGGGACATTTGTTACTTTATTACTAGGATGTGTTTATCACTTATTTGTAATGTTTTCCAAAGATCAGACAGGATTTCAAACTAACCAGGAACTGCAGTCTCTGTCTCTCTGACTCAGGAGTGAACTCTGAAGACACCGGAATGATCTCCCCATTCCTGATTATGATGGCTCTGAGGGGACAAAATACAAGTTACAATACAAAATACATACAGAAACATTCTTCAGCAGTGCAAAAAATGAAGAGTGGGTGTTAGAAGAAAAAAAAAACATAAAGAGAGAAAAGATTTTTTTTTATTCAGTGAAGAAGCAAAAATAAGTTAACATAAGTTACGTTCACAAGTAAAAATAAGTTGATAAAAGAGAATAATGGCGTTATGGGCTGAACACTGCTTGTTGCTGTACACTGGTTATTGTTGTCTACAGGCTCTATAATTGGTCTAAATCTGTATTTTCTATGCTGTAGAAGTATTGATGATACCCCTGACATACTCAGAAAAAGCAGATTATAATGTCATTTTTCACAATGACAACAATATAAGGACATGTCACCCACCCTAGGTAAAATGATTACTTACACAAAATGTCATTACAGAAAGGCTCAATGCTGCAAGGCAGGTTAATCAAGCACTAGCATTCCAAGAACAGCTCAAAGCCCTTAGTGCACAGCTCCCATGAGAAAAAAGTAAAAAGCAAACAAATTATTTAGGGTCTTAGAGTTCAGAGTTTAAGAGTTCAGACTGATTTATTGTGTGTTAATAAGCAGACACACTTTGTTTGATGCCGGTGTTGGTCTTGTTTTGTGGTCTCTCTCTCTCTCTAGGGTAGTTCTAGCAAAGAGTCAGTAGGGCTCTGATATTTTTAGGCCACTAACGACCTGCTCCACATAACTACTCATTAAGAGCTACACTCTGCCACACAGAATTAGAAAACTAGAGAACTGCTCTATATTATTACCACTGTAATGACTGCTATTATCTCGTTCAAATGTCCATTAAGGTCTTTCAGTTTTTTGCATGACTTGGTGTTTTGGATAATTGTGTCATTTTTGCTACATTAAGTATTTTAGCTTTATCCCCAGATTCAACACAACCTCAGCTAATGACATCATAATAAAACATATTAGTTACACAGAAAACATAAAACACATTTTTTAACTAGAGATGGCCTATCAGTATCGAGGGGTCCTGGGGTATCGATGGGTATAACAGCACTCACATTGAGTGATATTAGTTGTGGGTAGCAGAGTGTTTGAGTAGTTTGATCATGATAGCCTACTTTGAGATGCGCATCTTAAGCAAAGTGCTTCAATTAAAAATAGCAAATTTTAAAGCTTAGTAGAATTAGAATTAGTTAAAACTTAGTTTTTAAATAAGAAATATCATGAGCACTGGCCAGTCCTCAAGGTTTGAATATAAGCATTGAAACAGAAGAAGTGATATCGTGTCACCTCTATTTATTTATGTCTTTTTTTAACAAAACACAGCAAAATCCTGGGAACAAAATGCCATCTTAACAAGATGGGGAATGAAAACTGATCTGTATGCAATAGATTAGGCAGAGGAACAAACAAACCTCTTTTTCTACATATTTACACGGTAATTTGATAACAGAAGGAAATGGTCAATGCTGACAAGCTGGCAGTTGCTAGTTAATCCAGTATCTCTAGTTTCACAGGAAAAAAAAAGTCTCTTATTCAAACAACTGCGAAGATGCAATGCACTACATACAGTGTGGAATTTCATCCTGCTAATAATAGGGTTAGAGCAATAGGCAAAAAACTAGCAAAAGCCTCCCTAATGCATCCTCAAAGCAAATCTCTAATCAGTGGCTGAAAAAGAAGGCTGTTTTGCTCTTGGTAGCAGTGTCACTAGCATCACTAGCTCGATGGAGTACTAATAAGAAAACCAGCATGAGTTTCAAGTCTAAAAGCTGGACATACTGTGTGTAGCATAATGACCTAAAGTCAGTGCGACTCACCTGCTGTCCCCTGCATTAGCCACGTATAGCTTTCCGAGAATGAAGGCCACCACAAGCGCGGTGCATCCACCAGAGATACTATACACAGCTTTCTCTCTCTCGATCTGGGCATCCTGTGACACACAAACGGCAGGACAGATAAGATACAATATCACAATTTTTGTTATATGATATTTATCACAAAATTTCATCAGGTTTAATAAGTTGGAATACACAATGCACCAGCAAAACAGTAAAGCCACATTTAAACAATCCCAACTAAAGACCAAAACGCTCCCTTGGACCCCTGCTATCATCACAAGTACCCTTAATCTCTAGATAAAAGAGCAAAATGTTAAACAGCTACACAACTGGGAGACCTGTCTAATTTTTGGAGCAGCCACACATGAGCTTAAGGTCACTGTACCAACTAGAGGGGTACTGGGCTGTGATACAGAGCCAATACCTCTGGGATGAGCTTGTGTGATCCAGAACTAATCAATCAATATCTGTACCTGACCTAAGGCTCACTAATGCTCTTGTGCAATAACATCCTCATAGCAATGTTCCAACATCTAGGTGTAGAGGCTGTTACTGCAGCAAAACGTGACAAACTCCTCATTAATACTCTTGATTTCACAAGAAATGTTGGATGATAAGGTGTCTACAAACATATAGGGTAATATAGTGTATTGTGATCCAAATCATCACATGGCCCACCCCTAGTCATAATTAACTCTAGTTACATTATATATATATATATATATACACACATATATATATATATATGTATGTGTATGTGTGTGTGTGTGTGTGTGTGTGTGTGTGTGTGTGTGTGTGTGTATATATATATCGCTGTTGTCGGAAGAAAACCTTGTATCTCCAAAATGGTAACTTTACAGGAGACAGAAAACCCTACTTTACTTTTAATGAAAGTCAATGGAACCAGACTTTTTTCCCAAGTCATTTTGGGTCATTTATTTTGGTATATATATATATATATATATATATATATATATATATATATATATATATATATATATATATATATATATATATATAAAATTTGTCATGCTACCGTTGCATTGTTGGCCTTAAGGTCTACAAAGTCACAGTATGTGCAAAATGAGTGAAGTGAAGCTGTGAGTTTAGCAAAACAGCCTGTTTGGGTCTTGTTTGGAATTCAAACCTTGATGTTTTGGGTTGAATCAGACTCAGGAAGAAATGCTTTTGGGCAAGATTTAGGCTGGGATCAGAATTTAAGGTCCGAAACGCGCTCTAATGTGGGTGTGTAGAGCTCAGAGAATCAGTGGGTCAGATGAGAGTGCAGTGAGTAGGTGGAGAGGAGGCAGCTGAGTGGGCAGAAGGTCTGAGGGCAGGGGGGAGGAAGTAGAGCCCAGTTTCCTCCTGTGTCTCCTAATGAACCATCTGATGAGTGTATTAATACTTGCAGTGAGTGTGTGTGGGTGTGTGCATAAAGCTCCAGACCATCACCATACATCATCCACATTTTAAAAAATTCTACTTTAGTTAAATCTCCAAAATAAAATGACTCAGATGGGAAATGCTCCATTCTAGAGAAACTCACCAAGTCAGAGTTGGTCACAGTGTTGGTGATAGAAATCAGGCATCTGAAGCACTTAATCCCTCATAAAGCTCCCCTCAAAGAAACTTACTTGAAATTTATTATGAATATGTTAAAACATATTTTTTATAATCCCTTCACAGTGAAGAGATACAAAGGCACCGTAATGCAAAATAATATGCAAAATACCTTTTTTTTCAGATTTTCTACTATTTTACCATCATCAACATTACAAATAAAAAGTTAGAAGACGTGTTGGTTAACTGGTGGTTTTGAACAGTAAATAAAAGGAGTATATTTGTGTTGTAGACACTGTGACCCCTAGTTCCTAATCACCACCACTGTAAAGAAATCAGAGTTGTTGAGTTCCTCTACAAAGCACCATTTCACATCAAACCTCTCTTAACGACTGAATTATGCAGAAATTTTGGAAAATTGGTCTAATTCCCTTTTAATGTAAGTGACAAGAATTAATGTTAGATGGCACTAGTAACTAAAAAAGGTAGCTGGCTGTGTTCTGACGAATCCTGGGCATCTGGTAAGTCAGGTGTACAGAAAGGTCCTCTCACTGAAGTGCATACAGCTGCAGTGTGATGTTTGTGTGACTGGCAGTCAGGAAATGTGTCTCAGGAAGAACACGCTCATCTTGGACTGGTGCTGTATGATACGTGAGACTGAAACAGTGGGTGCGAACTGGCTATGATAACAGGTGAGATCACTGTGTTGGTCGGGGGTGGAGTTGGAGGGGCTGGCTATACCATCTGATGAGTCAACTGTTTACTAACTCTGAAAATGATGCGTTTCTCATTTCTTGGACAACAGATTTACAGTTTTTTTGTTCTCCTATCTAGTTACCATGTAAACTAATGTTGCTTTGATGAAATAAAAGAGTTCAACGTAGAGGTGGGCAATATGGCAACAAAGTCTTCATGATACATAATATCTCATGATCTATATTTTTTCTGACATCTGATAAACTGAAAAAGACGAGACAAAAGTAATGCCACATCTAAAAAAATAAAAAAAAACTATGAATACAATGATTTACATTTCATATTTTACACTATTCTGCACGATATCCAGTTAAACAGGATTAACGATACTCTCTTTGGTACATAAAGTCATAAAAAAGTGGACCTCAGTGAGAAAAAACAATACAAGAAAAGTATAGGATAAAGGCCCTTTAAAGTTTAAATAATCTCCACATAATGCATATAATGTTCTAGGAAGATCCCATAAACTGGTATAGAAGCACTGCACTACGTGAACGTTATTTAAACCTTTAAAAATTTATTTTCAAACATGGTTCTTTAGGGAACCAAAAGTGTGTGTTTTCAATCCAACTGTTTTCTATCGAACACGAGCAACGCTGTTTTGCAGAGAGAGGCTGGGGTTACAGCTTTTGTCTCAAGTCCCTTTATGCATTTTGCATACTTTTTCAAGATGTTAAAACATACTTGTTTTATTGTATGAGTGTTGCTCTTATAAATACATGTTATGGAAAAGACCGTCCATAACTACAGATTTAAAAGTAAACAGTAACGATATATAGCCATATTATTTAAAAACAGCTTATGGTTTCATGGCGGCACAAAATTTATCAACTGAGAACTAAACGTAACAGGAAAAAAAACAAAAGCCATTAAATATTTGGAAGTTTTGGATGGCTGACAATTTCTGAAAAGCACTGGTGAGTGCATGATTCCTGTGGTTATCTATGATTAGAGTCTAAGATACAAATTACTTATTTTTAAGCACGTGTTTATCTCTGAGTCAAACACAGTATTATGATGGAAAAAAGCTCTGCACCATGGAGTAAACATATAAGCAATTGAGACACATTCAAGGTACTGCACTGATAAGTGCTACCATCTAGTGGCAAAATATTATATTTCATATTTATAGCACAAACTGTGTAAAGCACACTGGCTCAAAGTAATGCTTTTGCAACACTAATGAAGCCTGAAAACTCAAGTTATTACTTTATGACTGTAAGCAAATAATAATGAAGTGGAAAATTACTTTGTTTTCCTTTTCGAGGAATGACCCGATAACTTTGGGAACAAGGTCACCTACAGCAGGAGGCCAGGAGCGAGATCATTAGGCCAGCGAGAAAGCAAATGGAAGAGAGCGAGCGGTGCAGTCAATGGACTTTTAAAAGCACTCCTATCAGAACACCGCAAGCAGATGAGCACTATTAAATCTCCTGATAAGCTTATGCTGCCCACTTCTCTAGCACACAGTGTAGTGTCATTGTTTTGACATCCTGCTCTGCCTGAACTTTGATTGTGTGCCGTCATTAAAGCAGCATTAAAGCAATAACGCCAATATTAAATGTGGCAATCCTGGCACTCTAATGCCAGACACAACTGAAAGCTTAATTACACCTTGAAATGTGCAGAATATCATTAGACAAACTTAATCATAATAACAAAACATGTTTACTGTACCAAAGTCAGTTTTATGACACACTAAAAGTTGCACCACAGTAACTGGATTTCATGTAATATCACAGCAGAAATGTCCTGAGATAGAAACTGGGCTTTCACTAGTCAGCTGTCATCACTGTCCACACAGTTGATATGTGTCAGGAGCAGTGAAAGAGAATACAGCAGTGAAGGGTCAGCTGTCCATCATTTAGTGTCTGAAGTTTGATTCTTCAGTTTTACAATGAAGCTGCAAGGTTAATGTAGCTAAGTAATGGAAGCTTGTAGCCATCAGTTTAGCATTGTTTAAATCAAGCAGTTTAAATCATTGCACACTTGCTTTAAACTACGTGAAGCTGCTAAAAGAGGAATTCCACTAATATTGCAGAAAGTCTGCATAATTAAATCATTAAGATGTAAGCAAAGTCATTCAGAGCGGTTTGATGTTAAATGCTTCGTTCTAGAGAAACTCACCAAGTCAGATTCATTTATGGCAGAGAGATATATGCAAGCAAAAAAAGTGCCAAAATTATTTCTATTTTTTCAGATTTACCACTTTTTTCCCCCACTCACTTTATTCCTCCTTCTATTATTGATAATACATAAAAAAAAACTTGTGTAGGTTAACTAGTCATTTTGGATAGCAAAAATGGCTATATTTGTGTTGTGACCCCTGGTTCCCATCACCGCCACAGTAAAGAAATCAGAGTCTGTAAGCTTCTCTACAATGAACCATTTTACAATGAACTGCTCGGAGGCATTACAATGAACTGCTCTGAATGACCTTGTTTACGTGTCAATGATTTATTTAAGCAGAACTTTCTGCTTTATCAGTGCAAATCCACTTCAAGTAATCTCAAATAGACTTGCTTATGTAGTTTCTAATGCTATGACTAATTGTTATCCATAAAAATGGACAAAGGCACAAACAAAATGGCTCCAGGATGGCTACTGTTTTTAGGTCTGGCACATACTTTGGCTATATTACTGAAAAAACAGTAGGTGATATTTCAAAAACTTTAAAAACACCAAAGCAATCCTATTTGAGATTCCTCAACATGGTGTGAAGCAAGTATGTAATAATTTAGGCATACAGTTCACATGATGCTTAGTGGGCAATAATGTGTTTGTTAGCTACATTAGTTTTGTTGCTCCAGTGCAAAACTAAAGAAGCAAACTTCCAACACCAAACATCTTGCCTGCTTAATAGTCTGTGTAATGTAGGCTGCACAGATCTTTCCTGCTTCATGTTCTCATTAGCCCAGAGGATATGGAAGAAACTTCAAATCATGAATCTGTTCCACCAGCAGAGTTTAAAAGAGGCCATATTTTGCTCCCAAACAAACCACAATAAGAGCCTCTCCCATAGCTGCGGGAGCTGGAACTCACCATCTCTTTGAAGGCGTTCTCCAGCGCTCCGATTACCAGGCTCTCGTGCTGGATCTTCTTCTCAGTGAAGAAGCGGGGTTGAGGGGTGCAGGGTGAGCCTGGGGCGCCAGCAGCCCCGCGGAGGGACGCTGCCCGGGTCAGAGCACGGTTCGATCCGGGGGTGGCTTGGTGGTTGGGTTCTTCTCCCAGCACGGTCGGGGGAAGCGAAGCCAGGTTACGCAAGACGTCGAGGACGTCCTGCAGCTGCTCTATGATGTGCTGCTGGAGGAGTCTGGAGGCCATGACTGCAGCGCCCGATCCTGCATGTCCGTCAAACAGAGCCCAGTAGTGGAAGACCAGCCCCTCAGACTCCTGTGAAGGACAAAAGAGACTAAGGGTGTAAATAAGTGAAAAAACCTAATATCATGATACTAGAAGACAGTTTCACAACACATGAGAGGTATGACAATATTTTGGAACAGGAGTGCCACCAGTAAAAAATACCACCCAAACCACAAGCACAACAATTCGGTAGCACCTCGCCACTTAATTTGTGCACAAAGCAGAACACAAACAAACCTGTCAATTATGACATCAAGTGTTTCAAATGAATTTTCTTCTTACTTAAGCAGCCAACTCTCTTAAGTGTGGTTTTAAAAACACCTCTTGAATTGAACATTTCTGTGAAATATGATATGCTTACGCATCGCTGATTTTGTTTGTGTATTACTCATTTTGGCACCCAGGGACATGCATTCCTGAGCTATTTTAAAAACAGAAATTGTCTCTGAATATAGAGATGAAATGCTCTAAATAGGTTACACCTTCATCCAAGAAAGAACAGGGTTGCGGTTCATGCAAGAGGAGTTTCACAGATTAATTCAAGAGTCTATCGTACAGATGGAACCATTTAAGTATGTCTTTGTTGCTTACGATCAATGAAAAGTTGCTTTTGCTGCTGCATGTAATCTACATAAACTTGAAACCAGCTCAACTTTTTTTTTGCCGCAGGATGAGTCAAGTCTTTGCTAATCACTATCCCACAATTTCCTGCACCATTTTCCTTTCCCTCCTTATTGAACATGTACTGGAGCAAAATTTCAGATAACAAATTACATACATGTACTGTTAAACAACCAATATTGCAAACTTGACAGGTACTCCATGTGGCTGCCGCCTCTTAGCTTCTTTTTAATGAAACATTCAATCATGCAGTGTTTTTGAAGTACTGACGATTTTCAGTAGTTCTTCTGCTAGATCCTAAATGTAAATACAGCTACTGACCATAATCGAATGAGTTATTTAATCATCATTGTGAAACTACTTGCTGTAAAATGACTCATAAATGTACAGGAACATTTGTGGCATGTGAAGTACATGCTGGTGCTCTGGCTCAAGGCCATGCCTTCCAGCAAAGCATCTGTTTGTCCCTAGAGAGGCATCCCTAAGAGGATTAGCCTCCACACACGCACACACACACAGCGGACTCTATTGAACAGGCATCAACTCACACGAGTGCTTCTATATATAGTTCAGTGTCTTCCTACCATCTCATTGAGGATGTGCTTCAGCATTAGGATACAATTAATATGGTACTTTTGATGGCTTTATTCCACCACTTCAAATGCATAAGCAGGCCTCTTTGCACAGCTGAGGAAACACAGGTGCATGGGCGCACACGCACACCCGCAGATGCGCACACACACACACACACATGCACACACACCACTAGGGGGATATGAGATGAGGACTAAACAAAGGTTATGTGAAGGCCGCGGAAGGTCATGGAAGACAATTTCAAAGATATACAAATATATTCTGTGTCGGGATGTCAAATGATCAAAATAATTAATTTTGACAAATATTAATTTTAAGGTTAATAATAAATAATTGATCACATTTGTATTATTTGCCAGAATTTAACCATAAGGAAAAGTTTTTTTCCCATATAAAAAGCAATGTTTTTGTTATAGATATGTGAGTGAACAAAGTAACATTAATCAAAATGTATTTATTATTATTATCTTTTAATTTCGTAACACTTTCATTGTGTGAGTTCACATGAATCTGAACATGAAAATCATGCGATTTCCACAGAGTGAATGCAGTTTCCAGTTTCCATCACAGATGTCCATTAAGCAACATATTACGATACATTTTACAATATCCACGTGGACGTGGACCAACAGGTAGACCCACCAACTACTCTGTGGTAGGGATGGGCAATGTGATGATATCTATCATTATTGTGATAAAATACCATGATAAAAGGTCCATGAAGCTTTCATGTGATGTGAAAACAAGAGGAGATTTGAGAGGAAATGAAGAATCACGTTCAGTGCGTGAAATCAAGTGCCAGCCTACCAGCATCTCATTTACATATCATTTGCATGAAGCACAATTCATAATTCTGTAATTCATGCAGATTCAGTAGAGAGCCAATAAAAATAACAACATTAAGCGGTTCTTGAGCCAATGCCTGTGCTCATAGGTGGAGTTTGCAGTTGAGCAGTGAGTGCACTGCTCCCCCTACTGACCAAACTTTAGTGTTAAAATTACGATGACTGGAACAAATTAAAACACTGTATTATTGCAGTGTATGAGATGTTTGTGCACTAGCTGTGTTTTGTATTTTTATTTTTTGGGTGGTGTCAGTAGTATAAGACAAAAGCAGTGTAAAATATCTTTAAATGGAACATGGAATAGTTGCAGCATTTGTTTATACCAATGTGCACATAAAATAGGTACATCCACTTTTGTACTAGACTACCATGTACACAAATTATTAGCATTATTTTATTTTCTATTTTTATTGTTATTGTTAATAATGTAGATGATATTTATGATGGTCTGATTTAGTTTATGGCAAATCCAGCATATTTTTTCAGGTTGTTACACTTAAACTGACACCTACCAGACGTGAGTTTGGTCATACAGATATGCCAAACATGAAATTGATGAATAACAAAACCTTTTTTGTGTGATTTGTCTCATTTTACGATCAGATCAGAATAAGGGAAAATTGGATTTCATCAGTACTTAAAGAACACTGAACTGCATGTTTCACTATACAGTGAGCATAACTAGACCTGTTTATGCTGATTTAGTGCAGTAAGGTATGCAAAATGTTGAATAAAAATCATAGTATTCATAGTTTTTGGCACTCTTTTCAGCATCTTTATGTATAGTCATGTTATATTTTTACCAGTGGGGGGGAGCAGATATTAATGAGTAAAAAAGGGGACCAAGTATCTGAATGTATCACTGGAGAGACATTATGTAAGAGTTAAACCAAAACTTCTCTGCATATGTAGGACTTTGCAATTCTAGAGACTAAAAATAGTGGCAGCTATCTTTGTAGTCTTTTCAACCTGTATTCATCTCCTTGAGTCATCTACGTGCTGACCAACCCAGAGAAAGAGTGGAAGGGGAAGGTAAAACACATCATGACTCATGAGGGCGAATAGCATGTGTGGGCGCTGGAGAGGTCAACCCAATCAGACACTGCGTGTATGATGTGACTGCAGGGGCCGACTCCGGAACAGAACAAACCTCCCTGATAAAAACAGACATGCACAAGAGCACTGGCTGTGGGCTGCTGGAAATAATATAGATGTGGGTGAACTTGAGAGACGGAATAAAAAAACAACAGAGAGAGCCGCTGAGATGTGCGTATAGATAGAACATGACGTAGGTGAATTTAGATTATAGGAAGATGAACTAAGTGGGGAGGATATGTCTTTGGCAGGGAAGTTATAGAATGATGCAGCAGGCAGAAAAGACATGAGGAGATTTGACTGGAGACAGTGATACGCAAAAATTGTGGGGGAAAAAACTATATGGCTGCCTCGATCACATTACATGTTTTGTTGATTTTCTAAGTGAAAATAACACATCCTCTACAGAGAAAACACTTCTGTACATTTTAATGCACAATTACTGTTTATTTGTTGGGGGAAAAAAAACAAACAGAAAAAGTGGTATGTGCAAAAGTTACAACACATTTTATATTTTAGGTTTTCTTTTTTCCAATGTGTTAATTAAACAGAAATGGTCAAAGTCTAAAGTTTATTCACAAAGCAGCAAATTGTGCATGAAATACAGAGAAAAATGCCATATTTGTTCAAACTGGTTTTCTTTGTAGAGTATGTGTTAACGTATTTTCATTTAGATAACCATCAAAACTTTTTTATTTGACTAATGATGTTAATTTGACCACTTTTGCATATAGTTTTTCATAACTGCATTATGAAGCAAAATTCTAGTACTTCATCCATATTATACAGCCCTATTGCAATACTAGACAAATTGCTGAATTGCAATTTGTCTAGTATTGCAATATTCAGAATTGAACATAATTGGAGCAAAGAATTGAACTCACTGAATTCTCTCTGAGCCCCAGACCCTCTCCATTTGGCAGTGAAGACCTCCTTTTGGCTGTGGGAGTTTTGCTCGGTGTAGACGATCCTCCGGGCCTTTTCTTTACCACAATAACCTCACAGCACGCCTGGTCCTCATTCAGAGCACTCTTCCCTGCATTTATCACCCTGAAAACACAAACACGGATGTGTTCGGATATTACACATCATCAAAGAAAAACAGAATGGAGCAATGTACTGGGACATATTCGAATTTAATCTCATTGTCCAAGATATTGGATAAGGAGGACATTTCAACAAGACAACAACTCGAAACATAAAGCAACTCAAGAGTGGTTTTCAAAAAAAAGGTGAAGGTGCTTGCATTGCCTAGTCAATATCCTGACTTCAATCACACTGAAAATGTAGGGAGGATTCTGAAATTACAAGGGGACCCTCATAACCTTGGGGAACTGAAAAAGCCAAGAGGAATGGGGCAAAAAGGAAACACAATGCTGCAAAAAACAAATTACTTCTTGTCGTAGGTGTCTCAAAGCCTTCAAACGAAATACTTACGTACTTTGATTAATACTTTTTCCCTGATCAATTTCATTTTTAAAACATATTTGTTTATACTTACGAACACATTCCTTTTTGTTCATATTTACAAGTACAACGTCAAAAGCCATTTTGTGTGTAAATCTGAAGTGGATATATGCACGGGAAGTATATCAAATAACAAAAACAACACTGTCTGAACACTTGTTCCCCTCACTGTAAAATGAGGGCATTTGTTCCAGAGTGTGCAGAGACAGAGGAACATCACACATCACAAGCAGGAACTTGTTAGTAAGCTTGGTATCATTTGTCAATCATTATCTCAATACTGCAACACAGAGGTTTGTAATATACAAATGAGCCCTCTAACAAACTCTCTGTTCTGTTGTGAGCTGAGCAAATCACAAAAGATCCAGACGAGCTTCTGTGGGTGTTTCTATGAATCAAGCTATTCATATTCTCCAACAAACATGAAAGCAATGCAAGCTGATCTTTAACCCCATCAAAGATTTATTAATGTGTTTGTATTACATTGGAAAGCATGTCACATTCACAATATATATCAATGTAATTGCAGTATTCTGTCTGTATCATGCAGGCTTATTATGAAGTACTGTCAAATACCCCAGACAGCCTGAGCACTAAAACACAATCAGTCAGAGAGCTTTGTTAAGTAATGACAGTTTAGGAAAAGCAACTGTGTCATTTTGTTGTGCTGTGTTGTGTCTGTGCAAGAGTAGTAGGCGGAAATTGTTTGTGCAAATTGCAGTTTCTGGCAGTGTATCTAATTGGATGCTTTACTGCACTCAAATTTGATTTCTGGATCATAAATGCATCTGGTCCTCCTGGCCCAGTGTCCATGTACAAGGCGGGGAAGGGGGGTTGGGGAGGGGTCAAGCACAAAATGCACAGGAACTTATTGAACCATCTGGTTTGCTTCTTCTCCAGCATCCATAGGGTTTTATAGAGGCTCAAGTTGAGCAACATGTTAGAGGCTAGATTGTTCATACAGTCAGTAAACACACTCCTACAATCTTGCATATATGAACCTTAGATTGGTGGGTCCTCATCAACTGAAAACAGGGTTGTTTACTGGGCCCTGGACCTACTGTTTTTGATAGTTCTATCACATCACTGAACATGTCCAAAAAAACGCAACCTTATTATTATGCCATGAACCAGATATAACCACATATAAAAGCATGAAAATGAAAATAGTCATGCATGAAAATAAATCGTAGCCATTGCTTAAATCAGGTGCGAGGAACTGGAGAGTCCTGGAGAACCGGTTTCCTGCACAGTTTGGTGACTTTCCTGCTCAAGGACACCTGATTCGACCCATTAGTTAACCACCAGGTTTCATTTGCATGTTAGAGCAGAGAAATCAGCAAACTGTGCTAGACTCCGGCCCTCAGCTCCCAACCCTTGGCTTAAATACCAACCAATTGACTGGAAGTGCTCTATAAAAAAAAGCAAGACTGCCATATTACTCTGCAAGCATCTATTATTTTGCTTGCAATACCTGAAGGGGCTTCCTGAAGGGACCAAACGGCATCCTAAGTTCTAAAGAAACTTTAAAAGGCCTCCGTCAGGTCACAAGTGCATTTAAGTCCCTGTCACCCATAGTTAAGCTGCCAAAGCACCAAGCAGACAAAGCAGTGACACTAGCTCCACATTGCCTAGATCCTGGATTTGATTGTCTACACTCTTACTGAAAGCTGGAGAACCATAACAGCCAGGAAAGATTATTTCTATCTGCAGCATTCTCAATAGTCAACAATCACACCATCATATGGTGCTGGGACTCTGTAATTATTGTGGAACTATAACACACACACACACAAACACACACACACACACACACACACACACACACACACACAGGCTTTCACTGAATTGGATCTTTACTCGTTCATTAGGATTGTGCTATAGAGGGGTGAACTATTTAGCTTACTAGATAACCAACGTGAACATTTTGTGTGTGAAGCCAATTTTGATAACTGCTAATGTCAGCTAATACAATTTCATGTTCAGATTTTAGATTTGAATTTTATACTCCAACAGTTTTTGTTAAACAATGCTTTACTGCCTGATATGAGTGTATGTTATCAGTTGTCACACTTCTTAAACTAAAATAAACAATAGAAACTTCAATTTTGTCTTTAAATGGAACAAAGACTGTTAAGACATAAATCAATATCGTGTATATGTCAAATACTACTAGAATATGGTGTATAATCCAAGCAAAATGCTATTTATTATTAAAGACAGACAAAATCCCTCTACTAGTAGGTTGCCATTTCTGTTGCAGAATCAAATGGCGGCTCTTTCTCTTGTCCATGGAGAGAGAAACAATGAGCTAAATATCTAATTTAGCTCAAAACTATCATATCATTCAACTTCAGCTGCAGTGTGACATTACCTAAGAAATAAAACTTTTTTGATTGTCTTATTTTCCATAAGACCATATGAGCTCATCACAGTGTGATAATGTCAGCCTTCTAGTACAGGGATTTGGCCTATCTGTCATGTTTTTAAATAAAACATTTTCTTTTGTACATGTACTCTATTACCTGAGTGTACTAACTTGTAAACTAAGTTCTAATAAAACACTGCAACAATGGTGGTGAACAATGAGGAGACGAAGTTCAACATGTGTTTATTAGGAAGAATAACATTAGTGAGGTTTGCATGCCAAGTAAAGCTTTGTGAAATGAAAACTGAAACTAGAGAGCGACGTTGCCCGTGTTAAACAGCACAGGAAGCTGTCAAGATTAGAACTGTTTATTAACTTTTAATACCTTTTTCCAACTTCCAGTTAATTGCACTTTAGTTTTGTTTTGACTTATTTATTTATTTACTTACATTGGTAGCTGTCCAGCTAACCAGCTAACTAAATTCTTTACGTTACTTTGATTATGTCTTTAGGTTTCAGCATTAGGTTTGTGTGTGTATCCCGGGTTGCTAGGTAACAGACATAACAGTTGTTTATCAACCTCTATTGAGTAGTTTATGATATCCTAGCTTGAGATAAGATGCTCTAAGATAAAATATGTTTCCCAGGGTATATTTTGGTTTTCTCCATCTGAATTTACATAACAAAATCGTAAGGCAAATTATTTGGTAACTGCATGAAATAAATATGAATTTTTATTTTATTTATTTGTTTATAGTTCCCCTCAAATAACAGAACATGTGTTTTATGATCATACACATATTGCTACATGCTTACAATTTCCTGCTGAAAGCCAAAAATCTTCGATGCTCTTTGTATTATTTTATAAAAATAATTTTACAGAGCAGATCACTGAAGAGACACCATCTGTTTATAGTTTATAGCCCAGATCTGTGGAAAAATGGGTTGAATTTCAGTAGACAAAAAAAATTCAGAGTTCAGCTTCTTTTATTATAAGGGTTTAAAATTACACTACCCATCTATTTGACTGGAAAGAAGACAGTTACAGCTCCCACTTTTTGATACCCACTTTTTAAATGTAGCTTATGAAATATGAAAGTTATGAAGAATATGACGAAGTGCATTTTGGAACCGCCGGTGGTCTCAAGGAGTTGAAGAGGTTAAGATGGGAATTCATTTCTGTAATACAAACTTGCAAAAATCGCACGTTGACCCTGTCAGATCTTACTTTAGGACAAAAGAGAGGAAGTGTCTACAATACAGCCCCTGATTCTCCTGTTCAGTCCGTACTACTTTCACATTATTAGACAGAGAGTGTTAATCATCAGTGACATTTTTGTTTTTGTGTTCCAACGAAGAGTCAAGAGAGCTTGAGAAGTTTATTTTTCAAAGGCTCGGAAGCCCCCATTCACATTAGCTAATGTTATTCAGTTCACTGCTTAGCAACAAAAGACTCCCAATCTACTTTGGTGCGCATTCAGCCGATGCAGTGGTCTACTCTACTTACTAAAAAGTACAAGTGCACTGCAGGAAATTGTACTGTCCTCAAAATCACTCTGGAATTCCGTTTTGATTCAGACACGAACATGTTCAAGTATATAATAGTGCCCTAAAACATAGATCGTGATCCATTTTGGTCAAATAAGGACGAGGAAGTTTGCATTCTTTACTTAGAAGAAGTGAAAACATGACTCAGAAGCTTCTACAAGTTGATGATTTTGACATAACATAATTAAATGTAGCCATTCTAATGAAAATATGCTTACTTTTGTATTTATTGAGAGTAGTCACAAAGGGCTTCACCGCAGATCCACAGGAAGAGGATTTCAAGACTTCAGTAGTTCACTTTATGCTGTGCATCTAACGCTGACATAACAGAGTTAGCACATGACAGCCTAAGGGAAACGGTCAAGCACATGATGAGCTACAGTGCAAACAGTCACGTCACGTGTCTGTATTGTGTGGCTCCAACCGGAATACTGAACTGCTGCCTTAATTCTCACTCTAAACACATTATTTCCATTCCATAGACTGACACTTAGCTCCATTTGAAAATAGTTTCAATGATCACAATGTGGCTATTTCGTAGTATTATTAAGATCTAATGTGGGGGGGCACTGTGAGGTTGTTACCACTGCATTTAAAGAAACCTATATTTACAACAGGGCCTGACCAATATGAAAAATGATGGTTGATATCGACTTTAAAAGGCTAA